GCAGCCACCGGTCCAACAATGTAGTACCACTCTATTGGGCTGCTGGAAGGAGCTGCTGCATTTCGTGTAGGAAAGAAATTTAGTTTATTAACAAAGGTAACCAGTCCCGTCAATTCTCTGGGTAGAGAAGTAGAAGGGTAAAATTATTACTCTTTGTTTTGTTCCCACATCTGACTATTTGACATTCGTATTGTTTACTGCTTGTGTTGAGGTGATACAATCTGATCAGCTATGATACTCACTACGGGGAGTAAAAACAATCTTACGCAGAACTTGAAGCAGTCATAGCAAACGTAACGTGAGCATGTACCTGTAATACAATGTATGCTATCATAGCAAATCATATAGTTATCTCCATATATGGGATGCTGCTTCTGCATCTAACTTCGTTTTCATTTAATGATTTTAGTTTCAAGAAGATGAAAAAATAACAATGGAAAAGTTTAGGAATATAAAAACTTGAGATTCTAGTTCACAGAAAAGACCTTCCAGTTACACTAGCTTACCTTCTACATCCAATATCACAGAAGAGCGAGCCACAATTCCTAATATGTTACTTGCTTCACAAGAATATTCACCACTGTCTTCTTCCACAAGTTCAGTAATAACAAGTATACTCTTTGTGCCAAGTCGGGTATCTATAACTGCTCGTTCTTCTAATGATTCTCCATCTTTTTTCCAAGCTATGTTTTTGGTTTCCTCGTTGACTTTACAGGTCAAAACAAAGACGTCTCCCGTTGTGAGTGTTTGATGTGACTCTGGCACAACTTGAGCAGAGGCTTTACCTACATTAGGAGAGAAGCAATTAAAATTAAAACTGCAGAATCAACACTAAACAAACAAACAAATAAACAAACAGACGTATGGAAAGGAAACGAGCCAGAATTGGCCTTTTAATAATGTTTTCGAAAATTTCAATAAAGAAATGCAATTTTTTGTCGGTGAGATGCGATCAAAACGAGTTGCAAATCCACAAATCAACTTTGTACATAGTTGCAAGGCAAATTAATATCCAAAGGAATTATTTCGAAAATCTTATAGCCATTTGACCTCAGATTTCGCACAGGAATGAAAGTAGTTTTCTTTTGTAACCATTACCTTGTTCACTGTCGAGAATTCCAATTTTGGATCTCATGCATATACGGTCTTTGAATCTCGCTTTCTTTTTCAGATCCTTCTGCCCTATTATGAATTTCCTCGATCTCTCCGTTGCAGAACTATTTTCGATAAAATGTTCTAGCTAAGATGTACAACGCACATTATCAAGTAGTTTGTATCAGTCAACGAACGATAGCGCTATTTTTTGTCGTTAATCCTTGCTTCTTTTTATATTTTCAGATCTACTCGTTTGACTCGAAATAACGGGGTCTTTTAAGGTCTGGAACCAAATAGCTAGTTACAAATTGTATCCCTATATGTAATGCAAGATATCCAAGCGCATTATTACTCCGGATTTCTAGCGGCAGTATTTACTCCTGAACTTACTCAAACTTTTGGGAAAAATTCCAACAAGATGTAAACCTTTCCTCACTTTGTTCTCTTTGTTTGCACACATCAATTCATAATTGCAATGGTGGGAAGTCCTTAAGAAGTCTCTATGTAAAACAATAGGCTCCAATCCCTCCCCCCAGTGGCAAAGGGATGTACTAAAGAGTTGAGA